TTGAAATCTTATTTGGAATTATTTTTAATGTAGATATCAGTATCTGATGTAATTGGCGCTGCTCTTGGTCGCCCGTCTGGGTATTTCACTTACTTAATTCATATAGAAAGAACGATAAATATTTAGACGAAATTATTAGCTTATTAGCATCTTTTTAATTTTCACGTGGTAGAGCCACGCTGCAGCTATGTTACTGGAAACGAGGCATTCCATCTTAGTCCACAGGGGTGACAACGCATTTGTATTTTGATTTTTAATTGAGTATTAATGTAGGTGTCTATAGACCACAGTATCCACTTACCCTTAGGTGGACTGTGTGCTTGTTTGTCACCCTTATTCTATAATAAAAATCTATAATAATAATCTTTTGTAATTAAAGTAAAAAAATCAACAACAAGATTTAAAAGCATGAACATGTAGAATTACGGTACTAAATTGTCGGCGGTATGATCAAGAAACTAATAACACTAAATCATTTGTCACGGTGACAGTAGCAGACCAAGTGCAGTAATTATACGGAGAGGAGAATTTATTCTGCGAAATAATTTCATAAGTATCAACGCAGAGAGAAATATATCCTAATACTTATCACAAAGCAATAAATCGCATTATCGGTTGACAGCGTGCGATATTGTTAAAACGTACCAATAATGCTTGATGATATCCGGAACAAAAGATGCAAGAATTCAAATAATACAGGTCTGCATTAGTCGCTAAACTGTACTTATTAAATCGTAAGAAGGACAAATGTTGAAAAACGTGGGGATCTTTGGCGTTGGTTACTGTATTGGCCACCCGTGGAGCCCGCACAGTTTGACGTTGGGAGTGAGTCACCGGTGAAATCAAACTGAGCAGTCAGTATTGGAAGTATTGGTATGTGGGAATCACCACGGAAGACATGTCTGTAAGGCCATTTTTGTTCTAAATTGAGCACTTCAAAAGAACAATGGTCAATAATATTGATTGTATGAAAAAAAAACGAAGGGCGAATATATTATAACATTTATATAAAAACAACAACACCACAGCAACAGCCCTTTTCTCTTAAAAAGTCTAAAAGACTTAAAAAGTCTACTATACCAATATCGTCCCGTGACGTTAAGTCGCGTCTCTAGTAAAGTTTTGTTGCCAACACAACAGTTGGTAACAAAACTTGAAACATTGTGGGGAACCGTGTTTCCATTTTCGGCGGCAAAATCAAAGGAATACGTTTGTACGAGGCTTGCTGCTACGAGGGAACAAATGTTTGCAAACATTTGTTCCCTCGGTGGAGACGCTTGTTGGAAACATAACTGTTGTCAACATTTTCGGTGGATACACGGCTTAAGAGGCGACAGATAAGAACTAAGACAGGAAATGGGCAGTACAATCTTGATTATAACTAATCGTAGATAGAACTGCGGTTGAAAACCCGCCTGATAAGCAACTGTGGCAAATATACCCCTTATGACTCAATTTAAGACAGATTTTTTGACTTATGGCGAGTTTTAATGAATGAATACAAATATAGATTAATTAATTAACGAACTAAACGACATTAGTACGGTAGGGTGCGGATCGCGAACTCAAAGGTCGTGACTTCTAATGCGCCATTTGACTACTGTCGTATGAACCACTCCTAACACGAGAATTGTGAGCTCACTTAGAGTGGTTAAAGGGAATATTAGTAATATTATTAGCACATTTTTCTTTAAAAAATTATCACGTCACCGTGTAGTGGTGTTTTAAGGGATTCCATCATCCCATTTCGTTATGGAACCATAAAAAGTGAATAAGAAGAGAACCAAAAGAAACATATTTTTTCATAAAATTGAAGTGACAGAATAACAGTCTACCCTGACGCTAAGTGGCTACTGCAGCCCATAGACATTTGGAATCCAAGTCAAACAAAGAAGCCTACAGATGCGTTATCACGTCTGAGGACTAAGGTGGAATGTCTCACAGCCAGTGATTAGCTGGCTCCCTATACCATTCAGACTGTAATAAAGCACGCACTGCTGCTTAGCGGGAGAAATAGGTAAGAGAGTTGTACCTATCCATATGGAATACTTAATAGAAAAAGAGTTCTAACATTTAATTTAAGGCAGATACAAAATACTTTGTCTGACAACGGACAGCAGCATCAATGCGAAAGATAGTACTGCGATTGCAAATTAACCTGCAAAGAACCACCTTAATTTTGGAAGAGGCTCATGTTCAATAGTGGGCTGTTTGTGTATAAGGATTTGCTTTTTTTATAGGATAAGGGTGATAAACGAACACACAGTTCACCTGATGGTAAGTGGTTGCTGTGGCCCATAGACTATTCTATCTACATCTGTGTACATCTACATCTATCCTCGATTATGAATCAAAATGCAGATGCGTTGTCGCCCGTGAGGAATAAGATGGAATGACCTCGTTTCCAGTGAAAAGGGTATCCGGTTCTCTACACTCACCATAAAACACAGCGGCGTTCTGCTGCTATTTTAAGTGCTTCGAGGGATGGTGATAATAATAATTTTGTAATAAATTATAAGCTGCTGATTGTCTACGATCTCATCTGACGATAAAATATAAAGAAATTTTACTGCCTTTATACGTTTCATTGCTAGGCACAGTTCTCATCTTTTTCCTGAGTAAGTTTTGGGGCAAGGAGGTGTCCGCCGCGCGCAATGCGTATTGGCGGAAATCACATGTCTTCGAAATTGTATATATTTTTATTTCGCAGACATGCGTTCTTTGATATGTTTTCCTTCACCGCCGGGCACATGGTAAATCACTTACATCGTTGATATAGGTCTTGACTGTCTCGTTGGCCTAGTGGTCGTAAACTCGATTACTGATTCATAGATCACCTAACTCGGGATCAGTCCAATCAATCCCGGGTCAGGCCAAAATTAGTATTTGGGTTTTCTTTCAAGAAATTTTCCGTAGCAGCCCGGAGAAAGCAAGCACCGTAGCTCCTGCATCTGATCCCTCTCCGGTCGTGCCGGATTACCGTCCCATCGGACTATGAGAGTGTGGGAATAGAGAGTGCACCTGTGCTCGAGCAGGAGCTACAGCTTTACGTACTTTCCGAGGCACGAGGGTAAAATCACCGCTAAATGACTCCTGATTCCGTATTGCTACTGAGAATTCTTTAATATAAAAATCCTATCACTGGTTTTAGCGCGATTCCAGATTCGAACCCAGGACCTCATAATCAGCAACCGCGTTTATGACCACAAGACTATCGAGGCAGTCAATCGTGGATATTGTACGTGTGTATGATGTAGTATATAATAGGTATCTTTGTTCGTTTGTCATTTAATCATCATAGCAGCTCATCACAAGTCCACTTCTGAACATAGACCTTCGCCAAGGAATGCCACAAAGCACGATCTTGAGCCACCTGCGTTCATCGACTTCCCGCATCACTTAAAAGGTACGAGGCTGCCACTCACAAATCTTTCTTACCCATCGGTCTTCAGTGAAACTCTAAGCATAGCCCGTTTGATAACTCGCTAAGCCATCTTAAACTTCCTCATATGGCCAACAGTGAAGGTTCACGTCTTAAATTCATGTTATTTTAATCCTTTACTTCTTCTATATCTATATACATAGGTACAAATAAATAAAATTGAAGTGTCTGTTTGTAATGTCAAAATTACAGCTTTTTACTAAATATATATGAAAGTATATACGGTACTAATAATAAAAATACGATTTTTAAAGTTTTTGTCTGTCTGTCTGTCTGTCTGTCTGTCCGTCCATCTGTCTGTCCATCTGTCTGTCCGTCTGTTTGTTCCGGCTAATCTCCGAAACGGCTGAACTGATTTTGACGGGATTTTCACTGGCAGATAGCTGATATCACAAGGAGTAACTTAGGTTACTTTTATTTTAGAAAAAGAAGTAGGGTTCCGCGAAAAAAAATTAAAACCTCAAATTACACCCGAGCAAGGTCGCGGGGAACAGCTAGTATTTTATAGAAAACGCTCATCTACGTGGTAATTTTGTGTATGAATTTCTCCTTATGTATTTTTAGAATATAAAATTACCATCGAAGGATGTAATAAGCGTCAATTACCTCAATAGTAACCCGGAAACTTAACATAGAAATTTAAATTTTATAGCGCATATCAAGGTTTTGAAAATGCAATCAAAATGCAAGAACAAGAAAGCGCCGCCGGTGTCAAACTATTAAGCCAGGTCACGCCATCTAGTGGTCAATGGAAGTCACGCTATGTTACCCTTAACATGATTTTCGTTACTGTAGTCACACTCGATCTATTTTTCTTTTGATTTAATGAAGTTTTGTAGACGACTTCAAAAAAAGAGTACGTTTATAATTTCACATGACAAACTGATTATTGAGCTTCAAAATAAACTAATACGAAGCCAGTGTTTGGCTATTTATCATCTATCTTATGTAGCAAGCCTTACTTTTCGCCTTAAAGACATAAATGTTATAAAAATAGAAAATTAACAGCCTATTTTTTTAATAGGATCGGGTGACAAACGAGCACACAGTCCACCTGATGGCAAGTGGTTAATATGACCCATAGACATCTACATATATCCTCAATAAAGACTCAAGATGCAGATGCGTTCTCACCCGTGAGGACTAAGATGGAATGCCCCTTTGCCAGTAAAAAGGGTCTCCGGTTCTCTACACTCACCATACGAAACACAGCAGCGTTAAGCTGCTATTTTACGCTGGTTTCCTGTGAGAGCGTGGTCCTTCCCCGGCCGAGCCGACCCATTCGTGCTACAACCATAATATAGCTGCAGCATGGCTCTACCACGTAGTAAAACCTATATATACCAAAAGCCAGAGCACAGGCCTCGTTTCATTTTTGTAAGGATTTCTGCTTAGGAAAGTGTCCACTGCTCTTCGCCAATGCGTGTTGGTTCTTCACATGTCCTCGATACATCATTATAATCATTTATATGCGCCGATTTACTCACGGTGTTTTACTTTCATATAAATTAGCTGGTAAACCAGCACTTAAACGATTGCATAATTTAGAGTATTATTGATGTTGGCAGGAATCCATCTAATATTGCTATACTGGCTAAAAAAGAAAAATCCGTTTCAGAAAAAAAATTCTGGGCGTTTTGCGCGCGCTGCGTACATTTTAAGTGATGTCGAAGCTAAGCCAAAACAATGCTCAACTTCTTGTAGAAACACACACTCACGCCCACATTTACATCTTAAATCATTTGCAAACAACAACATAGTTTTAGGTGGTTATGTGTGCATCCAGCAGTGGACTTTTACAGACTATTAAAAAAGAAAGGAGAATGATCTAACATTGTTGATCTGAGGGTTGGTGTTGTATCTACTATTAAATTTAAAGTGAGCGCTTTTCCCTCTGTGCTATTGCTTCCACTTAATAATCGTATTCGGAGACGAAGTCAGATGCTGATAAATTATTTCACTCCTTTACTGTACGCATTACGAACGTCGAGCATACCTTTAATTAAATGAATAAAAAGATAGTAAAAAGAGATGACACCGAGAGTCAGTGATGCCAAATGTAAAAAAGTCGCTACCGAACTACCGTCGCCAGATGTAAAAAAGGTCGTATTTTACGGAGACATCGAGATAAAAAAAATATATTATAATAATCAATTTGGAATGTGATATTTACCAATAAAGTTTCCGTTATAAGTATCACAAAAACATAATACCTATTTATGTTATTATTATAAATATTTAAATCTTAATTTGTGCTAATTACTTTACTTTCTTCTTACATAATTTTTTAAATAGCATCATTTTAATCATTTCTTCGGTTGGCTTAAATTTCGTACAATTTTTGCTTCTTATTAATTTTCTTCATGTGAGCCAACATACATTTATGACATATAGGAACAACACCTAAATCATAACGTGCAAAAATATTGCCAGCTTTGCCTTTTTCCCTAAGTTTAAATTGCCATAAAAAGTCGTATGTTTGCTGTACTTAGTCTTACGATCGTACATTCGTAAAAAGAAAAATAATTGTAGAAGTAAGGTTTAAATCATACATCTACAAGATGGTAACAGAAAAATATCATCAGAAGGTAACAGAAAAAAGTGTTACACTTGCATTACAGAATTTATAGCATAAATATAGGCGCATACACAGATAGGCTCAACGATCATTATTTGTTCTCAAATAAACCAAGAATTTTGCGATATTTCTACATGATGGAGCTTTTTTACAGCTGCAGTATGAATGAAGTATGACTATTGGTGTCTGGCTAAAAATAACAAAATAGAAGTTTCTAACCTTTGGTGGAAAGAAACCCTCATCCGGCCATAAATTAAAGAAAATGAGTTTGCTATATGTAAAATCATGTGGGAAATGCTCGTCCAAACTGATATTACTGTAACACAATATGCCTGATTTAATATATATTAATAAAACTAGTAATAAAACATTTTTAATAGACATACAAAACTGTACCATCAGACTACAATATACAATCCAAGGAAATTTAAAAATTAAGCAAATACCACCTGCTGAAAACTTAAGTTAGTCGTCTGTGGAACACACAAGCCATTGTCATTCCCATAGTAATAGGGGCAACGGGAGTAGTAGCTAAAAGTATCAAGAAATACGTAGATAAATTGGATAGTCATATTAACATTAGCATCCTTCTAAAACAAGCAGCTATTCACACGTCAACTATACTCACCAAAGTGCTAGGTGATACTGTTTTCGTTCATAATCACCAAAACTATCTACATATACAGAACCCAACAGTCATCAAACACGCGGCAGTCACCAAGCACAACGGATTCAATAAACACTGCAGACATATCGAATATACAACATTCACTAAACATCCTAGATAAACACATTCAAACCGCGCAACAATCATCAGGTACAACGGACACACAACAATCATCAAACGCACCGGACTCATCTAACACAAATCATAGTCCGAATACACAACAGTCACTAAATTCGCGACAAAAAAGAGGACGAAGGAGGAAAATAATGAGAACTGTCGAGCAAAACACAGAAAATATATCTTGAATGACACTTTTAACTTACATAATATTTTTAATTAAATTACATCATATTATTGAAAAAGTATCATTTAAACTACAATATTATATTAATTTAAAACACATAAATGAGGATATGTAAATGCCTTTTACATGTGGGTTGAAGAACAGGGTATTTATTATAACCGACGTAAGTCGTGAACGGGTCATCTATACAAATAAATAAAATTGAAGTGTCTGTTTGTAATGTCAAAATTACAGCGTTTTACTATATGCATATGAAAGTATATACGCTACTTATAACAAAAATACACTTTTTAAAAATTTTGTGTCTGTCTGTCTGTCTGTCTGTTTGTTCCGGCTAATCTCCGAAACGGCTGGACCGATTTTGACGGAGCTTTCACTGGCAGATAGCTGATTTCATAAGGAGTAACATAGGCTACATTTATTTTAGAAAAAGAGTTAGGGTTCCGCGCAAAAACATAAAAATCCTAACACGCGAGCGAAGCCGCGGGGAACAGCTAGTAATATAATAAAATATAAAATAATATAACATTTATATTAGAAATGGCTAAACCAAACCAAAAGCAGAAGAATAAAAAAATTGAGTATACATAATATACTCAAAACAATTTCCTTCCCCGGTCGAGCTGAGCCATTCGTGCTACAACCATAATATAGCTACAACGTGACTTTACTACGTAGCTATAAATAAATTATAATCATGTAAGTGAATTATAATTCTTTTGAGAAATATAATATCTTAAACGACATAATTTTCTTGAAAATCCTTAGTGAAAGTAACTCGCACTGCTCTCAATATAGTTTGACTTACATCTGTGCCCATAGCAAAGGGTCACTGTATGTTGCATGCATTTCGTAGTTCATTTCAAAATTAAAAGGACATATAGTCATTCGTTAAAATATGTACATACATACAATATAATAGAAACCTCCTCAGGCCTCACAGTGTCAATGATAATGACACTATGAGGCCATCTAGCTTGCGGCCTTCCAGGCCACGAGCCCTGTGTGCGACGAAGCTGTAAATAAAAAGGCTAACAGCGCTAACATCATCAGAAACCATCATCAGAAACCTGTGTGCCCATCTGCGTAACAAATAAATTCACTTAAGTCCTAACGTAAAAAAGTAAGATGATTACTCCGATTTTATTTTAGAATGACTTTATATTAGAATGACTAACTCGATAATCAAACATAGTTTATATTGTTAACGATACACTGTTAAAGTTATATAGTAGTCTTGAGGTCATCTTTTAATATATTTGCAAGATAGCAGAGGTATTGACATTTAGTGGCAGCGAAAACGAAGCCACTACCCCATATCATCACGCGGATGTCGAAAGAGGCGACAAAGAAACCTGAAATATGAAATGGGTAGTAGCACAATGAATGAATTAATGAATAAAATAGCAGAGATGCCGGAAAATGAATGCTTTTAAAGACAGCATCCCATAACATCGCTCTTAAGAAGCGGCACCGGAAAAAGGTTTTCCTTCCGGTGTCTCCCCTTTTGCGTTTTCACATGATGCTCTGCTCTGAACATATTCGTGGCTTAGACATCGAAAGAAAATCTAAGTTTTTTTTATCCTAGATTCAAATCTAAGTTAATAGTGTGCTTAATATATATTTTTCAGGTATAGAATATCGCTTCAATTCATAAGGACATGCGTATTGGACACGAAGGTGGATATAATATGTATGTGAGTCTCTTTATGTTGTATGAGACCGTAATTTGCATATTCTACGTAGTAGAGCCATGCTGCAGCTATATTATGGTTGTAGCACGAATGGGTCGGCTCGACCGGGGAAGGACCACGCTCTCACAGAAAACCAGCGTAAAATAGTAGCTTAACGCTGCTGTATTTCGTATGGTGAGTGTAGAGAACCGGAGACCCTTTTTACTGGCAAAGAGGCATTCCATCTTAGTCCTCACGTGCGACAACGCATCTGCATCTTGAGTCTTTATTGAGGATAGATGTAGATGTCTATGGGTCACAGTAACCACTTACCATCAGGTGGACTGTGTGCTCGTTTGTCACCCGATCCTATAAAAAAATATTATGTAAATTAATAATCTATACAAATAAATAAAATTGAGTCTGTTTATAATGTCCAAATAACAGCTTATTACTAAATGCATATGAACGTATATACGGTACTTATAATAACAAAAAAAAACAATTTTAAAATTATTTATAAGTATGTCTGTCGGTTGGACCGATTTTGACAGGAGTTTTAATGGCAGATAGCTGATGATAAAAGGAGTAACATAGACTACCTTTAATTTTTAACAGGTCAACGTGCAGAGTGTTCTATATATTATGTTATTACTAGTCAGTTAGTGATTATGTCTTTTATTTAAGTATCGACATTTACTTTTTGTTAATTTTTAATTAGCTATCAAGTTTTACATTAATTACGGCATCTCTATGACAACTTAATCTAGAATATTATATATCATAATTTTACATAGATAATATTCTTAAATATAAAAAAGAAAACTATTTTCTTGATTTAAATATGTAACACATACTATTTATTTGATAGAAATCGTTTAAGTGCATCATCATCATCATTACAGCCCTTCACAACTCCACTGCTGAACATAGGCCTCCCCAAGGAATGCCACAAAGCACGGTCCTCAGCCACCTGCATCCATCGACTTCCTGCATGTCTTACCAGGTCGTCACTCCACCTAGTGGGGGTTCGCCCTACACTTCGCCTACCTGTACGAGGCTGCCACTCGAGAACCATAATTTTATGCATACTATGAATAAATAGAGAATCCCTTATTCTCTTATTTATAATGGTATAAGTAGCATAATTAATACTCCAAGCGCTTATATGGATTTTTGTTTAACTTTAAAGTGAGAAATAAACTTACGAATTGGAATTGGTGACCAAAACTAGATTAGCTACGAGGTGCTAGTACTCCATTTCTATCTAGGAGTCAAATTTGGTTCAGTAACTATTTCTAACGCCAAATAGCAGTGCTTGCACTGACGTGTTCCAGTCTGAAGGATATAGAGAGTCCGTATGATTACACTTAAGGGCTGTGAGGAATTCTACCTTTGTCCTTAAAGTTGACAACGTATCTGTATCATTATTTACTAGA